AAAAGCCTGAGCAATTGTGCACCTCGTGCCCACGCCGGCCGGGCACCCAGGCATGTAAGCCCGGTAATGGGGCACGCAGCTGTGTGGCGCCATCACATGCAGCCGGCCGGGGCCCCAGCCTCGTGCCTCGAGCTTGCCAGCAGGCACGGCGCTCCTGGGGGGTTGGGGTCACTTCCTGCCCCCCCCCCCCAGGCCAGGCTCCCCCAGAGCCCCGCCGTGGGTCAGCACGAAGGCTCTAGGAGCGACAGAGCGAGGCATGGGCTGGCAACCTAGTGGTGTGTGGGGCTGGAGAGCCGCCCTGGGCCCCTGTGCGCAGCAGGGAGGGCCCAGGCTCTGAGTACCCCATGGCTGCATGTGGCAGGGCAGGGACTGGGGCCTGCTGGGAATGGGGCAGGCTGGGAGAAGAGAGGTCCAAAGCGCCTGTCCCCCCCCGCATGCCCTGTGAGCTGGGGGACCCCCATTCACAGCCGTGGGGCCGGGATCCCCACTGGCTCAATGGGGCTGTGGCTTGCTCTCTCTGAGTAGGACATCCCGCCCAGGCTGGGGCTGGGCGGCTCTCAGCGGCTTGGCGTGTGTGGGGTTGGCTCTCAGCAGATGCTGGGCTTGGCCGAGCGTGCGGGAGAAGTGGCTGCAGCCGCCCGGCTGCTCCAGGCTCTAATGGAATGACACGGTCCGGCGCCCCACGCGCCTGAGGCCGATCCGAAGCGACGGCTGCATTGGCAGGGCGCTCGCAGCAGCTGTTAGCGAGCGGGAGGCTCACCTGTGGTGTGGGGGGAACGGCCGGCGTCCCCTCAGCTCCCAGTGCAGGGCCAAGAGCTCGCCTGGAGCCCCTGGGGCAAGGAGACGTGGACAGGTCCCCTAAAGCCCTGGGGTGCCATCTCCCTGCCCAGCCGGGCATGGGGGGCGCTGGCCCGGGGTCACTGCCAGGCTCAGCCTGGGAGCCCCCTCCCCATATCTGGCTGGGCTCCGCGAGGGGTGGCTGGGCTGGGGGCCGCTCCGCAGGGGCAGAGCCGGGGGCGGGTGGGGAGCAGGAGGTGGGCGCGGTGGCTCTGTGTCTCTGGAGGGGGATCCTGTTTGCAGGACAGAAGGGCGCAGCCAGTGGGCAGGAGGGGTTCACCGGAGCTGGGGGCTCTGCTCCCAACAACCCGGGGAGGGGAGAGGCTCCCTCGCACCCTTGGAGGCGAATCAGTTCCGCTTGGGCCAGGGGACACGGGGCAGGTCCAGCCATGGGGAGTGAGGGCACTGGGGGGCTGGGCTCTGGGGGGCCCTGTGCCAGCCTGGCTGAGGGCGAGGTCACGGTG